AATTTGTATGGAAATACAAAAAACCTCGAATAGTCAAAGTAATCCTGAGAAAGAAGAATGGAACTGGAGGAATCAATCTGCCTGACTTCAGACTATACTACAAAGCCACAGTCATCAAGACAGTATGGTACTGGCACAAAGACAGAAATATAGATCAATGGAACAGAATAGAAAGCCCAGAGATAAATCCACGAACCTATGGTCACCTTATCTTTGACAAAGGAGGCAAGGATATACAATGGAAAAAAGACAACCTCTTTAACAAGTGGTGCTGGGAAAACTGGTCAACCACCTGTAAAAGAATGAAACTAGAACACTTTCTAACACCATACACAAAAATAAACTCAAGATGGATTAAAGATCTAAATGTAAGACCAGAAACTATAAAACTCCTAGAGGAGAACATAGGCAAAACACTCTCCGACATAAATCACAGCAGGATCCTCTATGACCCACATCCCAGAATTTTAGAAATAAAAGCAAAAATAAACAAATGGGACCTAATGAAACTTAAAAGCTTTTGCACACAAAGGAAACTATAAGCAAGGTGAAAAGACAGCCCTCAGATTGGGAGAAAATAATAGCAAACGAAGCAACAGACAAAGGATTAATATCAAAAATATACAAGCAACTCCTCCAGCTCAACTCCAGAAAAATAAATGACCCAATCAAAAAATGGGCCAAAGAACTGAACAGACATTTCTCCAAGGAAGACATACAGATGGCTAACAAACACATGAAAAGATGCTCAACATCACTCATTATCAGAGAAATGCAAATCAAAACCACAATGAGGTACCATTACACACCAGTCAGGATGGCTGCTATCCACAAGTCTACAAGCAACAAATGCTGGAGAGGGTGTGGAGAAAAGGGAACCCTCTTACATTGTTGGTGGGAATGCAAATTAGTACAGCCACTATGGAAAACAGTGTAGAGATTTCTTAAAAAGCTGGAAATAGAACTGCCATATGACCCAGCAATCCCACTTCTGGGCATACACACCGAGGAAACCAGATCTGAAAGAGACACGTGCACCCCAATGTTCATCGCAGCACTGTTTATAATAGCCAGGACATGGAAGCAACCTAGATGCCCATCAGCAGACGAATGGATGAGGAAGCTGTGGTACATATACACCATGGAATATTACTCAGCCATTAAAAAGAATTCATTTGAATCAGTTCTAATGAGATGGATGAAACTGGAGCCCATTATACAGAGCGAAGTAAGCCAGAAAGATAAAGACCATTACAGTATACTAACACATATATATGGAATTTAGAAAGATGGTAACGATAACCCTCTATGCAAAACAGAAAAAGAGACTCCTATGTATAGAACAGACTTGTGGACTCTGGGAGAAGGCGAGGGTGGGATGTTTCAAGAGAACAGCATCGAAACACGTATATTATCTAGGGTGAAACAGATCACCAGCCCAGGTTGGGTGCATGAGACAAGTGCTCGGGCCTGGTGCACTGGGAAGACCCAGAGGGATCGGGTGGAGAGGGAGGTGGGAGGGGGGACCGGGATGGGGAATACATGTAAATCCATGGCTAATTCATTTCAATGTATGACAAAAACCACTGCAATGATGTAAAGTAATTAGCCTCCAACTAATAAAAATAAATGAAAAAAATAAAAAAAATAAAAAATAAAAAATAGGGTCCTTTTTTTTTGCAAGGTTATAGTGGGTTATAAAAATGAAAATTGAGGAGTAATAGAGGATTTTTAAAAATGAAAAAAAATTTTTAATTAAAAAAATAATAATAGTAGTAGTAAAAATATATCTAGGGATTTCACTGGAGCTGTTGCAGGCAGTGTGGGTTCAGTTCAATTTCAGATAGTTCCTTTTTCCAGCTTATACGTCTCAGTATCTATAGGCCCCTTCCAGTGTAGTTGGTGTTAACTACAGGGATTTTAATCTGTTGCACCTGTCACTTCTAAAAGAGGTTCCCTTTTTATTTGGCTTCTGTTTGCAGGTCTCTACAGAGTCTAATTTCCGCCCTGACACAAGTGGGCAGAGGTGGTTTCTCGTTTAGGTTTGCTTGTTCAGTCGTGCTGTGGGGAGGGAGGGGCGCTGCAGACAAATGTCACCGGGTTGTGTGGGGAGCATTCGCAGTGTTCCGGCCATGCTGGGTTTGCCCCCGCTCACGGCGTGTGTGCTTCCCCCATCTACAATGCTCAGGCTCCAGGCTGCTCTATAGGGAGCGGGCCCTGAGTTGCGTGCACTTCCCAGGCCTAAGCCACTCAGGTTCAGATTTTGGGGTACTCCACAAAGGCCCAGACTCGGTTGGGCCTGCGTTTTGTGCCTTCCCCATCAGAGCAGCTCAAGCAACCAGGAGCTTGATGAGCACTCGCCAGGTGCAGTGCACCTTATCCCCTCCCCATCCCTGCCTCAGTTTCCCGGCGCCAGTCCAGCGTGCCTTGTGTCTCTTCTGGGGAGCTGATCTCTGGCTGCAACCCTCCCAGCGGATGTCAACCATCCAGAATCTCAGGAAGTCTTTGGTTGGAAACGGGAAGTCTGTTGGCAGTTTGGTAGGGGATGCCGTCTCTAGCGCAGAGTTTGCCTCTTTCTGGCTCTGGCTGGCAGCCCGCCTCCCCACTACCTCCGGCGGGGGATGGGCCAGTCTGAAACCAGCCAGCTCTTCTCTGTTATTGCTCAGTCTTTTGTTCTGTGAACGGGCCTGCAGTGCCTTAGTTTAGGGCTTCTCGCAGGTTAATTCTCTCTCTCTTGCTATTCCACAGTTTAAGTTGCTATCTCACGTTAGCTCCCTCAGAATGCCCTCAGGGCATTCAGGCCCGGTCCTTACCCTAAGCAATGCCGCCCACTCCTGTCCATTCAGCCCCCACTTGCTGTTGGTGGATGCGGGCGTCTGGGGTACTTTTCTGCTGGGAGTTGCTTTTAGGCATGTAATCTGTGGGTTTTATTTATTTTTCCTTCCGGTTAGTTGCCCTCCGAGATTTGAAATCTTCCCCCAGACCAGCCAGTGAGAAGTTTTCCTGTTGTTTGGAAACTTCTTCTATTAAGTCTCCCTTCCCGGGATGGATCTCCGTCCCTAGCTCTTTTGTCTCTCTTTTTATCTTTTATATTTTGTCCTACCTCCTTTCGAAGACAATGGGCTGCTTTTCTGGGTGCCTGATGTCCTCGCTAGTGATCAGAAGTTGTTTTGTGTAGTTTGCTCTGCGTTCAAATGTTCTTTTCATGAATTTGTGGAGGAGAAAGTGGTCTACCTGTCCTATTCCTCCGCCATCTTAGCTCCCTCCCTCAAGAAATCTTTTACTATACTGAAGTCATAAAGTTTATAACCTTTCCCTTCTAAGGTTATAAAATAATTCTCCATGGCCTCTTACAGTTCTATTATAGGTCCATTTCTTTAAAATATATATATATTTCAAGCCTTAATATATTTTAAATTTACTTTGGGGAAGAGTGTGAGTGTAGATTAAACTTTCTCTTCCAATTGGTTATTTAGTTGTCATAATATTAGCTACTGAATAAGCCATCTTTTCTACATCAACTTGAGATGCTCATCATTATCATATAAGTTTGGTTCATTTCTGATTTTCTTTTTTACTCTATTCCACTGAACATTTGTTATTCCTGTGACAGCGGCATGATACTTTAGATTTAAAATATTTAAATATTTAATAGAACTGGTCCTCTATTTATTAGAATAGAACTAGCCCACTTTTCAGAATGTATAGATTGAACCAGAGAAAACTGACATTTTTGTGAAGCTGAGGCTACCCACCCAGAGACATGCTGTACATTTCCATTTACATGAATCTTCTGAGTCTTAGGGGAATTTTAAATTTTTCTTCATTTGGATCTGGTACATATCTTGTGCGTGTGCATGTTCAATTGCCAATTCATGTCTGACTCTTTATGACCCCACGGATTCTAGCCCACCAGGCTCCTCTGTCCATGGGATTTCATTCTCCAGGGGATCTTCCTGATATATACCCTGTATCTTAAATTCATTCTTAAATACTATCTCTATTTTGTTGCAGCCAAAAATAGGGCCTTTTCTTCTACTAAATCTTCAAACTGGTTTATTTTTCTCCTATGAGAAGAGTATTGATATTAATTGAATGCCCAGACAAGATATTGAATTGCTTTTATGTGTACAGCACTTTTTCAATTGACTTTTGAGTTTTCCAAGATTACAGTTTGATTGTCTACAAACCCTTTTGAATTTCTGTACCTCTAATTTCTTTCTCCAGTATAATTGTGTTAGCTAGAATCCAAACAATAATGTAGGATATATATATTTATCCGGTTTATGACTTTATTAGGAATATTTCTAGTAATTCTCTTTAAAGTATGAAACTAGATTTCAGGTTGAGAAAGATACTTTGTATGTTAAGGAAATATCTATTTGTACTTTTTAAATAAAAATAAAGAAAAACTGTCAAATTTTAATGTAGGTCCACTTAGCATACATAAATATGGTCATATTTTTCTCTTTAATCTTCTAATATGATGTATTCTATTCAATAGATCTTCTCATATTGAATTTATAGAACTAATCTTTACATTTTTAGAATAATTCTATCTCATCCAAGTGCACTGTCTCTTAACAGGCTACCAGATACTGCTGGTTAATTTGGGATTTTGCATCTGTAAACATAAATAAGTTGATCTATAATTTCCATATTAGTGCATTCTTTGTCAGATTTTGCTCTTGAGAACTTTGGGAACTGTAAGTATTCAATAATGCAGTATCATTGTGATACACGGCCACAGTTTAAGACTGCAACTGGTAAATGTCTTAGGTTTTCACTGCATTTCTTTATCCAATACAAGATTTTGTTAAATAAGACATATGAGAATATATGAGACAGTTTTTACTCCTTCCAAACTTTGTAGGGAATGTGCTTGAGATAATTCATCAGAAGATTCAAATATCACTCAATCACTGTTTCCTTGATATAATTTTCATTCCTTTTTACCAGAACATTCATATTTTGTTTGGGTATTTGATTATCTTTCAGTTATGGAGAAAATTTCTACAGATGAGTTTCCTCTCACTATGCATTCTTCAGAAAAGCAAGAGACTATATGTATTTTTGGAACTGGAGATTTTGGAAGATCACTGGGACTTAAAATGCTCCAGTGTGGTTATTCTATTGTTTTTGGAAGTCGAACCCCCCGGATGTCCAGCCTGCTGCCCAGTGGTGCAGAGGTCATGAGCTACTCTGATGCGGCCCAGAAATCTGACATTATAATCATAGCAGTACACAGGGAACGTTACGATTTTCTCACAGAATTAACCGAGGTTCTCAATGGGAAAATATTGGTCGATGTCAGCAACAACCTCAAAATCAATCAGTATCCAGAGTCAAACGCAGAGTACCTTGCTCAGTTGGTGCCGAGAACTCACGTGGTAAAAGCATTTAACACCATCTCAGCCTGGGCTCTCCAGTCAGGGGCACTGGATGCAAGTCGGCAGGTAAGATTACAAGATAGATTTACACTTCATCTTTAAAAAGTAAATGTCTTAATATGCACTTACCTCCAAGATTCCAAAACATAATTCCAAAAGAAAATATTTTATTTTGTTAATATGTGCCATGAATAGCTTTCTGAGGTTTGACGAAATAGGGTAACCAATTGTAGTGATTTATTTCCCATTATCTATAACCTGAGCTTTTAGTTTGATAGAACCCAATGGTGTCAACCTCTAGAGGCCTCCTGTCAGTACTAGAAAATAACACCGCTAAATTGTTGATGGATATTCTTTCCACTCCCGTTAGTTTGTATGAAATGGGTTCCACTTATTCATCAAGATTAAAAGCAATCCGTAAGTGATATGGCACCCACAAATACAGAAGAGAACTCAAGTTGTCTGCACTGCAGAAAACCAAGTCTAATCATATCAATGCACTATGCTTAAAGCCACTCTCAACTTAAAATCCTGCTACTTAACTATCCAACGTACATGTGCAAGTCTAAACCATTATCTCGTTAATTATGTTCACTCTACAGCCTTATTTCAGAAGAAGTTAACTACTATATAACACCATCCTCCATTAATAAAGAAAAAATAAATACAAAATTAATTATTTTAACCCAGGTGTTTATCTGTGGAAATGACAGCAAAGCCAAGCAAAGAGTGATGGATGTCGTTCGTAGTCTTGGACTTACTCCATTGGATAAAGGATCTCTCGTGGCAGCCAATGAAATTGAAAACTACCCACTACAACTATTTCCAATGTGGAAGTTCCCCTTCTATTTGTCAGCTGTTCTGTGTGTCTTCTTCTTTTTCTACTGTGTAATAAGAGAAGTAATCTACCCTTATGTTCATGGAAAAAGAGACAGGACATTCCGTCTGCCTATTTCTATTCCAAATCGTGTCTTTCCAATAGCAGCACTCACACTGCTCGCCTTGGTTTACCTTCCTGGTGTTATTGCTGCCATTCTGCAGCTGTACCGAGGTACAAAATACCGCCGATTCCCAGACTGGCTTGACCACTGGATGCTTTGCAGAAAACAGCTTGGCTTGATAGCGCTGGGATTTGCCTTCCTTCATGTCCTCTACACACTTGTGATCCCTATTCGTTATTATGTACGATGGACATGGAACAACAGAACCGTTACCCAGGTAAATCTCTACTCACTTGTATTCTCCTATTTTTAAATCAAAGTGCAATCTTGCTACATCATATTCCATTTCATAATTATAGAAAATCACTCTTCTAAACATCTTTATTTTTTAAAGCAGCTACAATTAGACAGTCATGTTTGTCTTGGGGAGTTTATTGTTTTACTTTGGTTTTTTAACAAATCCTGTTGAAATCTCATATAACTATTGAAGAGTCAAAGTCAGATTCCCAGGTTCACTTGGATCCATATCTGTATTCTCAGGATTCTCTGGTACACAGATGTGAGAGCTCAGGAAAACCTAAAGAACCTACTTGAGTTACTTCAATAAATGCAAGCCAAAATTTAAAGTTTCTATTTTTATCTATGCTACTTTCTTTTGGAAGTCAAAACCAACCATCTTATAAGTGAAGGGGCTTCATGTCCAAACATTAATCAGAGGAATGTAAACAAATTTACAAAAGGGTGTTTATAACTCCTTTAATGTTTGTCTTGTGGGATGCCATCCTCAATGACTAGAAAACTAAACAATTCTGAGCAAATGTCAAAAACTATATTCTGCACAGTCAAAATATTCAGAGAAAATCAGCTCAGGGAGTCTTAAAGCAGCCCCAGAGAAAGTCCTATACATCAGTTCTGGTTTGGAATTAATTGTTTTTGATCAATCCTACTGCAGTCTCAAAGTTTATTAGTCAATAACTCATTGATGGTGTGTCTGTGGGATTTCTCTACATTATTTCCATAACAAATACATAGCATGTCCTTGGGTAATAGTCATGTTACAGGGGCCAGATTTCTCTCAAGATGTGTTACAACAGACCTGAAGCTACGTTACCAAAAAAAAAAAAAAAAAAAAACACACAGCAAAGAACTCAAACTTCATGTGTGTGAATAATCAGCATATAAAGCAGGAAAACAGAACCCTGATGTAATCATTTGAGAACATCAGTTTTTGCTTGGGGAACAAGAAGCCATATGGTAAAGAAGGTTTAAGTAAATGTTTATTTTGTTTTAGGATTTACAGGGTCAATTAAAATTCTCTATACAATTTCTGAAGTCAACCATCATAGTAAAGTCCTAATAGAACCAATTACTTTTTCTATCAAAAAACATAATATCTAGGTGTATTTTTCTAAGTGTAATTATTTTCAGTGACTCTTTAGAAATGTTATACAACATTGAACAAAGAAACGATGCAGAGGTATTTTTTCATCACCTTGAAAGTTTGGGCAATTTGTAAAAACTGAAATTTTAAAAAATTGCTTCTAACTATTTTAGGCAATAACCAAGAAAGAAGATCCATTTAGTACCACTACCTCCTGGCTCAGGGATTCATATGTTGCTTTGGGAATGCTTGGATTTTTCCTGTTTGTACTCTTGGGAATCACTTCCTTGCCATCAGTTAGCAACACGGTCAACTGGAGAGAGTTCCGATTTGTCCAGGTAAAAGGACTTCATGATTTAATCTACTTTTTAGTGCAAAATGATTCTGAGTTTACAAATATTCTGACTTTTCTCTCATACCCGCATAAGTTTTCATTTTGCTCCATCAGTTCCCTAGCAATCACATAAAAATAGCAACTGAAACAAATTCAGATTAGAAAAGCTAAACTCTGGAATCCAAAGGCAGATTCCATAATGGTTTGATTTCCTAGCAGGACAAGATTCCTGACCACTCCCAGAGATACAGCTAAGAGTATAGAATGAAAAGCATCAACTACTATTGAACCCTGTGTATGGAGATATACTAGGCTCAAGGTGGAAAGAAACCCAAACACAAAATTTCTACTTCTGAAAATCAACTTTAGAATATGGACTGATGGGTATAAAACTTTCTATGCTAGCTGTCATCATACCAGATTCAGTGCTGGTCTTTAAGATGGAAAACCAGTGTTTAGACACATCAACCACCAGATACATCACTAAAGGCAGTTAGTAACCAATCTTGTAGACCAGGGGTCTTCAAAGTGTGGCACCTGGACCACCAGCAGCAGCAGTATTGCCTGGGATCATGTTAGATACAAATCCTCATGCCCCACCCCTACCAAACTGAATCAGAAACTCTGGAGGTATTGAGGCAGGAGTTAGATGGGCCCCAGATTGAACAATTTCCCCCCTATGAATGAAAACCCCATAATAGGAGAAACTCCATAAAAGCAGGATGATGGAGGAGGCTGTGCCCTGCCCAGATGCCAAATTAAAAAAAATACACACATTCCTCTTTCTTGAAGTTAAGGAGACCTCCCCGATGACACATGCACAGAAAGGCTCCTTGGAGGTAAAAAAGGGAGGGGGTGACACCTCATAGTTCTGTCAACTACCCATGAGCCTCTTCACTATTCACTAGACTCCATCTTGGCCAAGAGATGAGCTTCCACACATGAAAGGATCTTGAGATGTACCAAATATGGCTTCAGGTCCAAACAAATCAAAATGATTGGCCAAAGGAAACCCAGAAGAAATGACCCATAAAAGCAATTCAAACTGCCACGAAAGGGTGACTCAGCAACTCTCTGTCTCTGAGCCTGCCCATGTGTCTACCCACACATACTATACTCTTTTCCTCCCAATAAACACTTTGCTTGCTTCAATACTTTCTGTCTTCGTGGGAATTCTTTTCCACAAACCAAAGAGTAAGGGTCTTGTCACTGACCACTGGTCTAGTGGCTAGGATTTGGTGCTCTCACCGCCTCAACCTGTCCTCAGTCTCTGGCTGGGAACTGAAGCCCAGCTTCAAGTTGCTGTAGGCTGAGATCATCTGAGATCATCCAAGATCAGTAAGGCCCAGCAGTTGATTTGTTTTCACAAGCCCTCTGGGTGATTCTGAGGCATATTCCTTGACAACTAGTATAACAGAATAGACAGTAACAGAAGTCAGAATTGCACCTTATAGAACTGTTTGAATTCAAAAGTCTTACAGTTTCTCCCAGGGACCAAATGCAGTCAACATTTTCTCATGTTTATACCTTCATTCAAGACACTAAGACAGAAATAAACAGTGGGCTTTGTATGTAGGCCTAAACAAACAACCAACAAAAAGTAAAGTTTGCTAACTGCTGTTTATTGCGATACAATTCAGCTAGTATCTGTCAGCAACATACAGTAATGTGGTATTTCTTGAAGACATACTGTGTTCTGTTTATCTCTGGCCTCCAGAAAAGATGATCCAGAAAAGAGTGTTACCCTTGAAAAAGAGGGTACATTACTTATTCTAATGCAAAAGAATCTATTCCTGGGAACCTTTCTCATCCAGTTAGGTTAAGATGAAACCACCAGGTCATTTGTAAGCAGTCTTTTCTTTTTTTTTTTTAATGATAAAATGATCATCTTGAAGGAGAGTTAATGTTTTTTCTGTTCTTGGCAGTGTTCTAAATACTACAGTTTTCAAAGGTTTGTGGCTTTGACGAATACCCTTCACTGACTCACAGTATTTCACGTGAAAATGTAAACAGTGTTAATATACATGTTTTTGTCTCTTATTTATAGTCCAAACTGGGTTATTTGACCCTGATCTTGTGCACAGCCCACACCTTGGTGTACGGTGGGAAGAGATTCCTCAACCCTTCGGACCTTGTGTGGTATCTCCCTTCAGCCTATGTGATTGCGCTGATCATCCCTTGCACAGTGCTGGTGATCAAGTTCATCCTCATCCTGCCATGTATAGACAAGACCCTTATGCGGATCCGCCAGGGTTGGGAAAGGAACCCGAAATACTCAGAATCGGCACTGAATGGAAAAACAGATATTTAAAGCAAAGTTCAATTCACCTGGACTTCTTAACTATGGCGTTGCATGTTAAGAGAAGAAGAATTAGTGCAGTGAAGAAAGTATTTTTCTCCCACCATGGGCTGAAGTTTGTGAACAGAGGAAGAAATCATGCCTGACTTTGAGAAATGGGACACCATTTTAATCTCAGGTCCATGTTGAGTCACTGCTGGTCTCTGCCTCTCCTTTTACTGGAGGTGGGGGGCTGACTCACCATTAGCTTTGTGGTTTCACAATAAGAAGCTTCTTTGCTGTGGGCAACATACATGACCTAATGTCTTGCAAAATCCAGGGGAAGTACATGCAGTTTCCTTCTCTGGTTCAAGGGCTAAGTAGAGTGAAAGAGAAAATACTAAGATGGTGGCCGCTGACAAAGGCTTTATTAGATTGGTCTGAAAAAGAGGGCCAAGGATGCAAAAGGAATGAAATTTTTATTCTGGCTTTTGGAAGTGCAGGTGATTATAAATATTGCCAGGTAAATTCTGTAGTTACGTGTGCTTTTTGATATTTTTTTTACCAACCTGGATAGGTAGTATGGGGAATTATTTTATAAAACAATAAAAATTTCACAATAGATTAGAAATAATCATAGACTGGATATATGCAAACTTATACAGTTGTCACAAAATCATTCCTCCACAAAGGAATAAGTGTAAAAAAGATTGAGTTAAAAATGAGGGATATCCACTTAGATTTTCTCAATGTACCATAAGTGAAGAAGAGTTGATAAAAGCCCTTGTGCAAAAAGTTAAAACAAAATTAAATTTTATAAAGTTTGTACTACATCATGTTTACTATTATTTAGGTTTTGTGCTGTGCTTTGTAAATAACATATTCCAAATTTGTTCAATATTAATCATCTATGAAATGAATTGCTAGTGTAAAAAAGTAGCTTCTATAATTTGTCATAGTTTGTTATAAATTTAAGCAGTGAAATTAAATGAATAACAAAAGTGTAAATTGGACCAAAACACAGATGCGAGAGAATTTTGAAGTCTTAGGCAGGAGAGTGTGAGAGCAGCAGTTTGTAATAGGAGACTTGGTTCTTTCTCAAGTCCTAGCTGGAAGGCAGGATGCTTCTCTATGCTTTTCTGTGATAATGATGCCATTTCCAAGATGACCTTCAGCAGGATTAGCCTTCCTGGCTCATATATGGAGCTGACAGGAGCCTTATGTATGACCTTTCCACAAGCCGAAATAACCAAAAGGCTTTGGATTTGACAATTTTCTGCCTGCCTCACACAGGCCATTTCTTTTACTTTTTATTTTCACTATCATATATTCTATATGACATTACACAAAATGATTACAATATATTAAAACATCACCCATAATCCAGAATATTTTTCTATAAAACTTTTTGAAAATAGTTCTACCTATACTGTATATTCAATTGTGTATCCTTCCTTTTTCACTTAATATACTGTGGCTTTGTTTGCTTACTTACATGCTATATGTATTGAATCAGTGGCTTCATGATACTATACCAAATATGCATTTATTTTACCACTGCTCTAATTCAACATTTAAGTTATATCCATTTTTTACTAAAACAACATTTCAGAGGCTACCTTAGCACTTATAACTTTAGTGCATATTTTAAGTTACTTCTTCAGAATACTTGTGAAGAATTGTGATTAAAAATTAAAAAACACTGAATGTAATTGCCAAATTATTTCTGAAGTTAATACCATTGGCACCATATGAAGATGTTGGTTGCATTATATCCTTCATTTCAGTTCAGTTCAGTTGCTCAGTCATGTCTGACTCTTTGCGACCCCATGGACTGCAGCACGCCAGGCTTCCCTGTCCATCACCAACTCCCAGAGCTTACTCAAACTCATCCCCAACGAGATGGTGATGCCATCCAACCATCTTATCCTCTGTTGTCCCCTTCTCCTCCTGCCTTCAATCTTTCCCATTATACCCTTACAGATTTTGGTTGTTTGCTTAATTTCAGCTTGTGTTAATTAGAAGACACCCAGAATACTTGTTCCATTAATTTATCCTTGATCTACTCAAGGATTCAGAAAAGCTTGAGACTTTGAACAGAGCTGTGCTGTGTGGTGAAGACCCCAGGGCATCAGTGAGAAAGACAGGGCAACTGTCACTACTCATTCATTCTACTTTATGCAAAATACCCACGTGTTCTAGGGTTGGCCACTGCCTTTTGGATAGAGAATTGGTTATCTAAAGGTTAAATACTATCCAGGCTAATCTAAAGGAAACCTTTGGGGTTAACCATGTTCCTTTTTTGGTAAAAGAGTAATATTTTTACTGGCTATCTGGTTCATTACTAAGACTAGAAAATGCCACTCTTAGGTTAAACAAGGGCTTCCCAGGTAGCTCAATGGGTAAAGAATCCGCTTACAGTGCAGGAGACATAAAAGATGTGGGTTCAGTCCCTGGGTCAGGAAGATCCCCTGGGATTTAACATGGCAACCCACTCCAGCTTAAAAAAAAAAAAAAGGCTTACCTACAGTAAAAAGGATTCTGCTTTTATAACCTAGTAAAAATGTTCTTCTTGGGTACTTCACAAAAGGCATCCAGGAAGCCAGACATTCCAGAGCACCCCTGGTGGTTTTGGCATCACAGTGTATTGCTGGGCATGACCCTCAGCCTCATCCACAAGGCTCCAAGCCCCACCAGCTGACCAGGGAAGTCAATTCCCTCGTTTCACCCTCTCCCAACATCCATTCCCAAGCCATCAAACCAATGTGCCCATCCTAACAACTGATTCCCCCAGTTTTCTTAAGGTGGAAAAGAATTTGAAACAGAAATAGGTGTGTTGTGTGAACTCTATTCCTTTTAACTGTTCCAAACTATTCTTCCACATTTAAAAAGTCAGACTAAACTTCCTCACTCTTCATATGTTTCCTGTATTCTAGGAACATTTTTATTATATGATAGACCCTTTTATTTTTGTATATATCCCCCATATTAAGGGATGACTGCTTTTGGAAATGTGTACTCATTAAACATTGTTTTAAAAGTCTTAACTGTTTACTCATTCTGGTGTTGACTCATCTGCATTCCAAAGAAAGTGACTTGAAGGTTTTGGACCACAGTAGTTCCAGCATCTGGAACTAAAAATAGTTCCTTTCTGGGATAAGGAAAAGGACAGGAAGTACAGGGGTTGGGAAGCACATTAGTGGATTTGCAGCTTCATGTGATACCTGCCTATGCTCGGCACATGCCGTATTCCAACATCCTGCATGTTTCAGTTTTTACCCTCAGAGAGAGAAAAAGCATTAGCAGGTCAAACAGGTAGGGGTCAAACTATCCCACACTGGACTTTTGTGGAAGAAAAAAAAAAGCCTTCTTCCTTCTCCCAGGTGGACGCCACCCAGACAGGGCAACTGCCTTAATGGGTAGACTGATTTCAAGTTGAATTTTAAGTTGTGGGACCAGACATGAAATGCCTTGGACAACTGAACAACTGCAGCCCTGACGGGTGTTACCTTTCTTTCAAAATCAAAACAAAAACAGATAAATAAAGAAAGGGTCAGCAAACTTGAGTAAGCTAGAAGTACAGAACAAAGTCCCTATTAGAAAGCTACTTTAACTAGAAGTTGCATTCAAGAGCTCTCCATGTGTTTACAGTTGGAGCCTCATAAACACTGAGTGCCCTGCCTAGAAAGAGGCAAACATGGGATTTGAATCAAGGCCATCTGAGTCCAGGGCCACCACCTTTCAACACAATAGTGCAATGGAGGACCCTCGTGTGCTCCTCCAAAATATGCCTGAGGATCCATATATTAGGCTGAGTAGACTGGCAACATTTTTTTTAATGTTTTTTAATGGGAGCCTTAAAAATTCCTGACTGCTCCATCCTTAGCACTCCATATTTGCCTATTGTTGAAATTAGGAGGCCATTTAAGGTTGCAGGCACCTGTGATCCCTTGGTTTCAGCATTGAACACAGCTCTGTTGTAAGCACCACTTTAATATGCCCACCACAGTCTGGCCACAGGCTTTTTTAAGCAGCAGAAAGACTGGTGGTAGGTACTAGGTAGTTCAGGTATGTGTACTGAAAGGACTTATGTTCTTGAGATCCAGTGACACGCCCAAGAAATTTCATAACACTTCTCACTTCGTATTTTAAGACTAGTTGAGAAATCTTAGTGCTAAAGAAAACAAGATTCAGTCCCACTACCTAAAGTTGCCAGTTTCTCGGTTTTGTAAATATGAAGGGCTCTTAGAATGGAACTCACAATGCATCAAAACAATCAGAACAGGACTAACTATAATTAAACTCTCCCTTAGGAATTTTAGAGAATCAGCATGCATTAGCTATGTATTAAGGGATACAACTCATATATTGGTTTCACTTTTACTAATCTTTTCTTTCACAGAAAGAGATGAAAGAGTAAGAGAATTACTGTTCAAGTTTCATTAAGGCAGAGAAGCAAAATCTGTTAAGACGAAAGGTCTGCCCTCAAACTCAAGGATTCTTTATAGTCTCAACTGTCCAGCCAGCCAAGCAGGCTTAATTCGTCTCAAGATAAGCATACTGACTGCCACCAATAGGAAATCTTTCCATTCTTAGGTACACAGGGCAATTAGAAAACTCTCTTATACCAAACTAAAATTGTCCTAACTGCCCTTCCATCCACTGGTCTCAAGGCCGTCATTTAAAGTTGTGCCTTTTTCACCTATGCAGTGTTTTACTGCATTTATTCATTTATTAACTTATATATTTATTTTTGGCTGTGCTGGGTCTTCACTGCTGTCTGCAGGCTTTCTCTGGTTGCGGTGAGCAAGGGCTACGCCTCATTGCAGTGTGCGGGCATCTCACTGTGATGGGTGGCTTCCCTTGTTGTGAAGCATGAGCTCTAAGGCACATAGGTTTCAGTAGTTGTGACACAGGGGTTTACTTGCTGCAAGGCATGTGGAATCTTCCCCAACAAGGCATTGAACTCATGTCCCCTGCCTGCAATTGGCAGGCAGATTCCTAACCACTGGACTACCAGGGAAGTCCTATGG